TTGCCTCAATGGGCGCCACAACAATGATAAACAACGGAAGGTGATAGGTAGGTGCAGGTGGTGAATTTTGGCGTTGCACAGGGTGCCGCTGGAATTTTAAAGCCCAAATCCTGCCACTGATCCAGGGACCTGTTTTACTCAGTGATAAAGTGGCCACTTAATATACTACACCCCGCCCAAGGAAATGCAGGTGTTGTCAAGGTAGGACTTTGGGGCAGGCAGACGTCTATGGCCCCAGTCAGCAGATCCCCCCCGCCAAAAGCAGCAGAGAAGGCTTGCCACATTTTGAAGCAAGTGAAGTAACGCATAACGCTATCTAAAAAGCGATACATGGCATTGTTTCCCAGAACACGCTCTGCTTGGAGCTGCCTTTGAAGACTGCTTGGAAGCTGCAATCGGTTCAAAAGGCTGCAACAGCCAAGCTTCTTACAGGGGCTGGGATATAATAGGGCTCATGATACCCCTTTTGTACCAATTGCATGGGCCGTCCATTTATTTGAAAGCACAAATCAGAGATTTGTTTCCAAGCATAATTTTGACCCACAAAGGGCCTTTGAAAGCCTTGAGAACCAGCCACATACACACCTTACACTGAAAACACTATTAGGCTAAAGAGAGAGAGAGACATTGCACATACTTTTGTAAACTAAGAAAATCTTTAATAAAAATACATTAAAAAGCAACAACACTATTATGCCACCATTGACAGTCGTGGCTTCCCCTAAAGCACCTGGGGAACTGTAAAGGATGCTGGGATGCCTGCTCTCCTCACAGAGCTACAATTTCCGGAACAGCTTAACAGTCCATCTTTTCCAGCGAACTTTGGCACTCTACGAGAATTAGGAGTATGCTAACACCTATTGGCACCCTTAACAAACTACAGTTCCCAGAATGCTTGGGAGGGGTGAGGACTCTGGCACCACTTTATTGCTTCCCCCAGGGTGCTGTCCTCACAGCCCTACAGTTCCCAGTACGCTGAACAAACTACAGTTCCCAGAATTCTCTGGGACTGTTAAAGTGGCATAAAGCTGCTTTAAAGGCCTGGTGCGGATGTAACTGCAGTGACAACAACGTGTATCTTTAATTCTCCCTTTGTGGGAGGGTGAGAGAGAAAGAAAGAAAGAGAGGACTTATTTATCCCGGCTAGTTCTCTGTATACGTTGACTGAAGCGAACCAGAACGTTGGAAGCCCCTTCCTCTTTGCAAATAATGCTTTTCATTTCTTTCTTTTTTTGCCGCTGCTTCTCTCTCTTGCTGGGCCCGGCTTTTCGCTCCGGACTTAATGCAATCAGCTTATCAGCGAGGGCGGCCTTTCGAGGCAGGCCTTGGTAGCGCAAGGGGCCTCCTTAATCTAATACAGCGGAGTGGAGAGGGGAGGGGGGAAAAGAAGAGGCAAGGACAGATGTTCAAATACTTTCACCTTGGCAACAGGGAGCTCAAGCATGCCGGGGAGGTCAGAAGGGCAAAGGGCAGAGGGGAAAGAAAAGCTGCCTAAGCAACAGGCATAGCTTAAGGACGGCGCTTTAGGCCCAAGGCTGAGAAAACAAAATGGTGGGGCAGGGCTGGACTTGCCTGGAAATAAAATTATGAAGTCAAGGACCTTCTGCGCTCACTGGGGAAGTGCTTAGGTCTTCAACAGTCCTATTTAAGTCTGTCACGATAATACTATATGTTTCAGGGTGATTGATTCCTAACCCCAGGCGCTGGGTTTGCAACCCCGCCTCCCTCCAAAACACCTCTCCCTCTAGCAAATTGCAAAATTCCTCTTGGAGATGATGATGATGATGATGATTAAGACCGTGTTTCTTTATTCTACTTAAGGCAAGAAAGGTCCCTGTAAGGCTTTGCCGAGAAGAGCGTTGTTTGTTTTTGTTTTAAAAAAAACTCTGCAAAAGGCGAGGTGGAGGGAGAACGACGCCCAAGTGCCTTTTCCACGCCGCCTGTTTTGACGGACTGAGCAAACATGTTATTTGGGTGACAGGCAATTTTCATACTGATTAATTCCCAAACATGGGGAACAATGGGCTCCTTGGGCTTCTGAATAATGCATGCCAGGCGACGCAGGCTGCTGTCAGCGGGGTTCCCGGCTAGTGACAGAAATTCACACTCGAGGGCTATTTTAAGAAGTCGTCACCGCCGAAATTGTTTGCGTTCTCCATCTCCAACATCCGTGGCGCAAACATGTCAAGAACAGGGGATGTTGTCAGAATATAAACCTTGTTGACGACGGTGTCAATTACGCAAATCTGATATGGACAAAGGTTGCAGGGAGGGGCAAACCTGCCTTTGTCCTCCCCCGCTCTCTCCTGACCAGCAGGGCTGGTATCTTGCACTGATGGATTGCTTGGGTTTCAGTGGTCGAAGGGGGCTGTCACAAAGCCACAGGGTCCTCTCTGGAGAAAGTAGGGAATCTCCTGTGTGTGTGTTTTTTTAAAAAAATATTATTTATACCCTGCTTTTCCAAAGAATGCACGCTCGAAGCAACCCAGAATGCAAGAGCAATAGAACACAATTCAAAACGGGAAGAACAAAGCGGAACGACACAAACAAGAGTGCAGAACCAGAAGAGGACAATCTGAAACAGTGAACATAAATAATAAAACGTCACCTGGGATTTTTTAAAAAAAGTTTTCAATGCCCATTTGTGTGTGGGAGATGTCTCTCCCTACACCTTACAGCAGACCGCAGTAGGCAGTCTTGGCTCCTGTCTCCTGTCTTCCCTATTCCTCTATCCTGTAACAGGCAGATTGTTGGAGATACCTTGGTGAATACCAGTCACTGGAAGCTGCAGAAGAAGAGAGGGATCTGGTGCTTGGACCCTGCTTGCAGGCTGAACATAGGCATATGAGAACAGGATGTATGAGTAGATGAGTCATTGGTCTGATCCAGCAGCCTCTTCTTGTGCTCTTAGGTGCTTACCCGGGTGGGAAGGAGAATAGAAGGTGGAAGCAGCAACGGGGACAACAGTCAGAACCAGCAGCACAGCTAGGGAAGTGGAGGGTCAGCTGTCAGGTGGCACTGCGTGGCTGCAAGCAGATGTCCAACCATGCCACCTGGTGCCTCCAGGTCTAGTGCCCATCTAAAACCAGAATGTGATCAGGAAGCTCGATGGAAGGAAATCCAACAACTGAGGTCCCACCGTTCTCTCTAGTAATAATAATAATAATAATAATAATAATAATAATAATAATAATAATTTATTATTTGTACTCTGCCCATCTGGCTGGGTGGCTTTCAACAAAGATTAAAAAATACATTAAAATGTCACACATTAAAAACTTCCCTGAACAGGGCTGCCTTCAGATGTCTTCTAAAGGTCAGGTAGTTGTTTATCTCTTTGACATCTGATAGGAGGGCGTTTCACAGGGTGGGCGCCACTACTGGAAAGGCCCTCTGCCTAGTTCCCTGTAGCTTTGCTTCCCACAATGAGGGAACCATCAGAAGGCCCTCGGCGCTGGATCTCAGTGTCCGGGCGGAACGATGGGGGTGGAGACGCTCCTTCAGGTATACTGGGCCGAGGCCGTTTAGGGCTTTAAAGGTCAACACCAAAACTTTGAATTGTGCTCGGAAACGTACTGGGAGCCAATATAGATCTTTCAAGACCGGTGTTATGTGGCTTGGCGGCCGCCCCCTGTCACCAGTCTAGCTGCCGCATTCTGGATTAGTTGTAGTTTCCGGGTCACCTTCAAAGGTGGCCCCACGTAGAGCGCATTGCAGTAGTCCAAGTATGTGCCAGCCTAATCTTTTCTGAAGCTGGGAAGGGCTGTAGTTGAATGGCAGAGCAGTCCTTGGCATCTCCTGGTAGGGTTTGGAAAGTTCCCAGTCTGAAACCAGTCAGTGTTGGTAATACCAAGCTAGATGGATCAACGGTTTGACTTACAGAATCATAGAATTGTAGAGTTGGAAGAGACACCGAAAGTCATCCATTCCAACCCCCTGCAATGCAGGAATCTCAATTGAAGCATCCATAACAGATGGCCACCCAACCTCTGCTTAAAAACCTCCAAGGAAGGAGATTTTGTATATAAGTGCCTTTGGAACTGCAGGGTGATAGTCCTTTTTTATAGAATAACCCCAAAGCAGAGTGCAATACCAGTTAAACACTATAAAATCAACTAGTAAGCAACAAAAGAGTAAAGAAAACAGCACATACACAGTCAAACAGCTGTTTATAGAGGGCAGCAGCTACACAGTGTCAGTCCAAAGTCTGGGTGAATAAGCTGGTTTCAACTGGTGCCGTAAGCTTATAAGACGTGGTGCCAACTGTATTGGGGGCTGATGGGGGGAGAGTTAGTCAAGCCAGGTGCCTGTATCGAGAACACCCTCTCTCATGTTGCTTCCGCCCTCGATTCATATTGCTGCTCAGGAATAATTTTTTTGGTAAAAATACATGAAATCAATAACAGCAGCATTTGTGCGGTGTTTCAGCCTCTTCAAAGCATTTCCGCCATCACAGTGGTTCCCAGACTGTAGGCCATGACACACACACACACACACACACACACACACACACACACCGTGGGGCCAAGGAGTTACCCCCAAGGGCTTCACAAAGTTCTCAAGTAATGCCTGTGTGAGTGAGGAGAGAAAGTGTGAGTGTGAAAGAGAACGAGAGAGGAATATGTGAGCAGAGGGGAAGGGAGGAATCAACCAGACTGCAGACGGTTTGTAAAACGATTGAATTTTATTAATTTATTATTTCCTGCCATTCACTGTAAGGTTCCAGGGTTTGTCGAAGCATTAAAAATGTAATAGAGTCGTACCTTGGTTTTTGAACAGCTTAATTCCCGAACGTTTTGGCTCCCGAATACCACAAACCCAGAAGTAGTTCCAGTTTGCGAACTATTTTTGGAAGCCGAACGTCCGACGTGGCTTCCGTGGCTTCCGATTGGCTGCAGGAGCTTCCTGTAGCCAATCAGAAGCTGCGCTTTGGTTTCTGAATGTTTTGGAAGTCGAACCAATTTCCGGAACGGATTCCGTTCGACTTCCAAGGTATGACTGTACAGTATAGCTCAGTCAGTAGAGCACGAGACTCTTAATCTCAGGGTTGTGGGTTTGAGCCCCATTTTGGGCAAAAGATTCCTGCATTGCAGAGGGTTGGACTACATGATCTTTATGGCCCCTTGCAACTTTACAGTTCTATGGTTCTATTAAAAGCACTTATAACAAAAATAAAATAAGGTGGGATTTATGGCCACTGTTGCCAGTCAGTTCAACACCATTCACCGTGGGCACCATTGACGATGAAGCCCAACTCTGCCATTCCAAGTGTTGCACAGTTCAGGATACTCAAAGTCACCCATTACTACAGGACTTCCTCCTTTGATTTCGTTCTCTTAAGATCACTCTGGGTCAGGGGAGACAGTAGTACAACCCTGTGGCATTTGCCTCCTAGGATGGGTCATAAGGAAAGGGTTAAAATGGGTGTGATGTGATTGGCCAGTGAGAATGCAAGGGGGGAATAAAAGTTAGAGTGGGAGGTTTTGAAAGTCAGTTGAGTTGGAGTGAGGTTTGGGAGTTGAAGAAGGAAGAGGGAGGTTTAGGTGTGGGTTGGTAGAGTTGTATTGTGAGAGACTGAGAGGAATTGTTAGGTGGAGTCAGATAGATAGTTGGAATAATCAGTTTGGAGTTGTTAGGAACTGAGAAAGAAACTGACAAGAGAAAAATTAACTGAAACCATAAGCTTGTTCCTGCATTTAAAAATAAACTTGGTTATTTGTTTATGTTAACAACTGACTGGACTCCGTGTGTCCCCGTGAGAAGCGGGGTGGTGGCACAGGGTCAATAGACCGTCAAACGTCCAGGGGCCCTGTGTGTGATCGCCACAAACCCCAGAACTAATTTATTCTTGAGGCCCAGGAGTGATTCTCTCAGGATTTTTACCTTCTTGGACTCTAAATGCCATCTTTGACGTACATTAGGAAGATTGATATGCTGCAGATGTCGAAAGAATCAGCTTGCACATGTTCGCCACACAGCCATTTTTAAAAATATGCTCCTCCAGCCACCTGGAAGCACAACTTATCTGTACATCCTCGACTTGCCCCAGATAGATAACACTCTTTTGAATTTATGCACTAACAAGGCTTTTCGTTTTCTTGAGGCTGAGTAAAACTATTCCGCTTAATCAGGACCTTGGGAGGACGAGGCGTTGCACCCTTTTGTTGCAGGGAGTTTGTGAGCTGGAAACTTCTGATGGTAGTTTGGTTTTAAGTTGCTTTTATATAGGTTTTATTATGTATCTTAACTTTATGTGTGCCACTTTAAGAACCCTGCATACTGGCAAGGAAGCAGACTGTACATTTTAAAAACTAAATTACAGTGCAATCCTATATATGTCTACTCAGGAGTAAGTCCCACCGAGTTAAATGGTGCTTAGTACCAGAATATAGGATTGCAGCTTTAATTAAATAAGTCTGGGATAATAGCTTCCCAAGAAAATTACATTTCCTTTTATAGGTTTTCTTCATGGCACCCTCTCCTTTTCACCCTCAGTTCCCCATCTGTGAAATGGGAATAATTATGATCTCCCCTGCAAACACAAGGCAGTTGTTGAAGCAAACACAGTAAAGAAGACTGCATAGTGGTTATATATGCCAAAGCCCTTTGCAAATTTTAAGTGCTATCTCATTATTACACTGGGGTGGCTATTACTCTGCATTTGTGCTACAATGTGTCATTCCATTTCCGTGTTTGGGGACATTTGTAATGGATTTAGGCTGCAGAAAACAACTTAAGGAAAATAACAAATGCTGTAACGATCCTTGAAGATGCTTGATTGATACAACATTAGGATCCAATTTTCCGCTCACCTTCAAGAAAACCTTCATCTCTGGTCTGGAAACATGTGTGAGAAATTACATTCTGATATTTCTTGGGGAAGGAAGAAGAGGGGGGGTTGACAAGGCGACTGGAGTTTCAATCCAAACTCACGCTCTTCCTTCTCTCTTTCACTCCTCCCAACCCTACATTAAAGTTCTTTTCCTATAGAGAACAAAAGTTAGGAGTTTGTATTTTAGAGAATGGCCTGAGATTATGAGTTGTGCAAACAGAGAAGAAAAAAAGAAGCCCCAAGGCTGAAATCCTATACCCTGAACATGTACAGTGGTACCTCGGGTTACATACGCTTCAGGTTACATACGCTTCAGGTTACAGACTCCGCTAACCCAGAAATAGTACCTCGGGTTAAGAACTTTGCTTCAGGATGAGAACAGAAATTGTGCTCCGGCGGCACAGCAGCAGCAGGAGGCCCCATTAGCTAAAGTGGTGCTTCAGGTTAAGAACAGTTTCAGGTTAAGAACAGACCTCCAGAACGAATTAAGTTCTTAACCCGAGGTACCACTGTATAGGACTGCAGTTTCAGTTTGACAATGGAACCGTCTCCCTTGGGAGGTTGTGGACTCCCCTTCCTTGGAGGTTTTTAAGCAGAGGTTGGATGGCCTTCTGTTATGGATGCTTTAGTTGAGATTCCTGAGCCTTGGGGTCCCTTCCGTCTCTACAATTCTGTGATTCTAAAAAGGTAGCCCACTCGATCTCTGGGTATGGCAATCTTTACAAAGTGATGCCAATCATCCAATTAAATTTCCCCTTCACAAGAATGTTGCAGGAATTATTCCTGTGTAGGATAATCCACATGGAAAGCGTTACTCAAAGGGACAAATCCGTGATTCTGATTTTGAAGGAAAGCCCTTTGAAGTCATTTGCCATTTGTCATGGATCCTTCCTGTAAAATCCATGTGGATTTTCCTTTCCAACACAACGCTATGCAAATTGTGCGTCCATCAGATTTCTCGGGTGTCATAGCTATAGCTGGTCCTCAAAATGTTGCTAGCTTCCAGCCCAGATGGGAAGGATTAACGACTTGGGAGTTGCTGCGCCATTAAACTTCAGACAACAGATTTGGACAACAACCCGGATTGGAATAGAGTCGGGGGAAGCTGAGCTGGCAAATAGACAGTTGGAAAAATATACATACACAAATAAAGCTGTATTCGACAGACGAAAGGATATTTGATTTCTTACATGATTGAGAATCGTAGAGCCAGGGACGGAGAACTTCAAAGCGTTAAAATCGGGGTGTGGAAAATATGGAAACAATGAGGAGAGGCAGGACTGAGATTTGGTGATATGCTTCAGAGGTCCAGAATGTGGGGAGCCCCGAAAAATCAACAATTACAATTTGGATTATAATTTGGTCTTTTTTATTTTAGTTTTTTGTTTTAATTGGCTTATGATTGGATATGTTGATTGGATGTTTTTTATTGGAAAATCAATAAAAATGATTTTTAAAAAAATGTTGCTAGCTTCCAGACTCTAAAGCTCAACCTCTCTCTCTCTCTTTCTCTCTCTCTCTGGGCTTGTCCATACTGTTGTTTAACGCCAATAGTAAGCTTCTTGCAGCTCCATTAATTCTCTGTTGGTCATATGACATTCACTGGCTTCCCAACATTTTCCCTTCCCTCAATCCAGATTTATTCACACCCTCTTCCTTTTCAGAGTATCCTCAGTATGAGAGACGATAAAGTGCTGGAAAGCAGTGGTTTAGATTAGAGGAGAACATACTATTATGAGTTTGGGTGCCAGAGATTATGGGTGCAAGACACCCATAATTCCTGGATTTAGTAAATGTTAGAATTTCATCAGTGCTTGGAGTACTGAGATGGGCTGACAGACGCTGGATTTAGCAAAGTGCTAAAATACAGGCCAAGCCCATTTTCCCCTGCTCAGGGAAACACCAGAGAGGCAGATCATTAACACAGAACAAGGCTCATCAGCAAGGCAAAAAAAACCACATTTCCGGCTGCCAGATGGGTGAAGCCTGAGCTCTTTGTTAGTTAACAGAAACAAAGGCCAGCAGTAGTAGAAGTTTTAGGATTACAGTTTCCCCTGATGTTTCTGTTGGTAATCAGTGACAAACTGGAGAATAAGGATGGACAGAGCACAATGGGGGCTGACAGTTTGACTTGGTGGCCACCCAGGAAGGAGACGAACCCTCTTGGGGTTTAATGCTGGAAGCCCCTCCATGGTAGTCTCAGGTTGTATAAAGGTAAAGGGACCCCTGACCATTAGGTCCAGTCATGGCTGACTCTGGGGTTGCGGCGCTCATCTCGCTTTATTGGCCAGCGTACAGCTTCTGGGTCATGTGGCCAGCATGACTAAGCCACTTCTGGCGAACCAGAGCAGCGCACGGAAACACCGTTTACCTTCCCACCAGATTTATCCACCTATTTATCTACTTGCACTTTGCTGTGCTTTCAAACTGCTAGGTTGGCAGGAGCAGGGCCCAAGCAACGGGAGCTCACTCCGTCGCAGGGATTCGAACTGCCAACCTTCTGATCGGCAAGTCCTAGGCTCTGTGGTTTAACGCACAGCACCACCCACGTCCCCCGAGGGTTGTATACCTGTGTAAATAAACCATACAGCATAAAGACACCACAGTCTCTGCTGTTCCTCATTTCCCAAAGGAAACATGAACCCTGGGGAAGCTCCTGGACGCCAGAATTTTGCATCGACAAAGGAGAATCAGTGGTGGTGCAGGAAGCTTCCTATCCACATTAAATGACAGTATGGATGAGCCATCAGTCAAGCCAAGCCTGCCAGTCAATTGCTCCGTTTCTCACACAGAAGACACCTGAATGATATTGCCTACAGCCAAGGAAGGGGAAAGAAAGATATGGCTTTTTTTTGCCATTCTGCCTCTCACTTCCAGATGAGTCTGCAGGTATTTAGTTTCCATAGCAACATATTGCCCTTAGCTTACATAACAAAGGGGATATGACAGATCTGCTGTTTACATAGCTAAAGAAACTGGTTTGACCATTTCAGCTGTCCTCCTCTTTTCTAGACCACAGTCTCACAACTATATAATGGTAGGGCTAGATCATCCCAAGGGATATCCAGCCCACCACATTAGTATTCTTGTTATCTTTCGTGGGAAATATATCTCAGAACCAGTCACATAGACTCTATGAAGTCTACAGAGAGAGAAACATCACATTATTTTTCACCGTTGGGCAAAAGATTCCTGCATTGCAGGGGGCTGGACTAAATGACCCTCGTGTGCCTTCCAACTCT